CTGTTTTTTACAAGGAGTATTGGGTAGGTTCGCTCCGAGTGCCATCCTGGTTAAATGAAGGGGCCAGTATATGGCCCAGCTCCCGCTCTAACAAAGCTAGATAGTGACAAGTTAGCGCGCGAATAAAGCATTCAAGGGACTACCTGGTGAAGATCCAAAAAGTGAAATGTCGACCTTGTAAAAGCGATTTCTTCGTGCTTGGAGAGCGTCTCGTTGAACTGAGATTCGGCAAACTTTCCTGAAAGCTTACCCACTGCACCGTGCGCGTCGGACTGTGTTTTTCGAGTATCACGACCTAGACGACGTTGAAACTTGAATCGTCAATCGTTAATGACTTGATTGTCTCGATACAGCGACTCAAATTTCTTTCATTAAGAAATTTTACGAGGATAATCTTTAGAAGGTACGATCGTCTCCGAAGGATTGGCTTTCATGCTGTAGATGACACCGCCGATATGTATTCTTCATATTTTCGACATGGACTGTTCGGTGGAGGAACCAGAACTCGGCTGCGGCATAATCATAATCAGGGATACAAGTTCCATGCAGACGACGAAGAGAAAAACGTTAACCAAGTAGGAGCACTCAACATGTTTCGATCTAATAGCGGCGCCTGCTGAGGCTGGTAACGCCTTCTGGACCTAAATGAGATAGTTTACATTGAAGTATGGGTCGGACGGGATGAAATGAATTATTACTGATCATCACGGGTCCTCTAAACATGTCCCAAGGCAACTCTAACAAGGATGAGGGTTGGAACGATTACCTTCAAATATAGATCAGCCTCGGGAAAGAAAGAAAAGAAACTAAACATACGGTGACGGATGAAAGGATCACTTGCATATGGCGCCGCCAGATCGTCTCGCATGTAACACGCAAGTGATGATAACATCATAGGCCGGTTCCGTACTCTGTAAAGTGCTTACATCTGCAGACTGCAGCGAAGACTTCTCAGACGATCTTAGCTTCAACGGAACTCATCCTAAGCGAATTCGAGTACGGGACTAGAGCACATAAAGGAGCCGAATGCCCGAGGATGTATAGTATTTGAGTCTCAATTTTTGGGGGGAAAAGGACGGGGAGGGTTTAAGCCGGAAGTTATGCTGCCGACGATACCGGAAGAAGATTTCGGAGTCTGAATGAGGATCGGCCTCTCGGCAAGAGCTGTTGATCTTTCCACCACCATCACTGCTTCGCTTCGCAGGGAACAACGTACTGCAAGCAACTGACGCATCAATTCTCGCAGACTGGTGGCGGGACTACTCTCGTGCTCACACTCCGGAAAAGCAACGACGTGCACTGACAAGGCATTGGGTGCAGTGGCGACTCGGGGAGCATTGGGGAGAGGGAGTGGCGTCTGCATGGGTGGGCGTGTGGGAGCCTTCTGTCTGCATCCGTGCTCGCCGGTATGGTTAGCGATGGGCGGGAGGGATTAATCAGGGGTCAGAGCGTATTGGGTACCATTATTTTATCCAGCGTAGAGATGTGACCGCTAACCTTTGCCTAGGATTATCGATTAGGGATGCCATGAACTCGACGTCCATGACTACCGCCCTTTCATACGCTAGTGTTTACATACAAAACCATGTCGAAGTCAACTCTTCCAAAGGTAGTCCGTTGTCTTCGTCTGTTGCGCGTCGCTAATACATACTTATAGTACATACGGTCGAGTCTACAGCTACAATCGAGTACCTACCCCCGAGACCCACATAGGCGCTATTCGACGAATAGTTCCCAACTATGTGCATTCTATTCGCGCGGAATCCTGTAAACCACATCTTTCCTATCAAATACCCAAGTCTGGGCCGTTGAACCACTTTCCATTTCTCGCAGTCCTGCATCCTTCGATGGTTGTCAAAAGCCGCATCGTCCTGATTTTTCGAGGAGCAACAACGAAGGCTTTGCCTGCAGAGGAATGGGTATCTGCAGAGCATACCTCAGCCTCCCGATAATATCAGCGACTGTAACCCACTCTTGTTTACCCGACCTCTGAATGATCACTGCCGTGGAAGCTTTTCGTGGACTAGTCAGCGACGGAAGGGCTAGGTCGGTTGTTGTCTCGTTGACGCAGCAGCCCCTCATGACCATTACGCCCGACAGACCATGCGCAAAATCGAGCTTCATCAGCGTCCTCTCCACGGGTAGACCTTAACCGTGGTTGTACCACTATCAGGTCATCGTCTCTATTTGAAATGGCAGCGGGATGTAACGACAGCGCTGTTTACCAAGGACGGGTGGCGAGGATGGAATATGTTCGCGTGCAGATTCAGTATATGACGCGTCGGGACTGGGTGCACAATGGCGGCGAATAAGGACTGTCGTGGTCAGCCGCTCATCGACATAAACAGGAATAACGAGGATAACGAGAGGCGCCTTCGACAGGTTGTAGAACACCGTCGACGGTGATAAATGCAATTCTGGCAACTCTCTTCCCCGCTACGTTGTCATTTTTTCCGCCGAGCACGCATCGTCTTTCATGGCACCGTCATTCATGGAACAAATAGTAGAAGAAAGGCTTACAGTATGAATAGGGAGGCTTTGATTTGATTGAGTGGATGCGGAATTCAGAGGAGGGAGGCGCGCAAGGCTGAGAGCAAGCGATGGTAGTCGTTCGAAGAAGAGTTGCGAGGTCTTGGGGAAGAATGGGACTGCTTTATATACGGTATGTCCGCCCTTCAGACCTTCGATGTAAAACCTAACCTTACTTTCTTTAGGGTTAGGGTTTCCCACTCATTTCGCCGTGACTTTTTTGTACCTCTTAAGAGGTTCTTGCACTAAATTTCGACATTTTTTCCCGAACTATGACCTCCTGTGGCTCAAATACCGACCTATTCAACATCCGGTTCTTAAGCCGTATCTTCATGTGAAACCGTCACGATCGCACAAAGCTGGTACTAGTAGTGTCTGCTCTAGGACGTCTCGTCCCCTTGGACTAAATGGCTGTACAGGCTGTGGCCGTATATGTCCTGGATTAGGATGTGGGAGTCAATTGATGGTGATCGCCCGGTTCACCTACGTCTCCTCGGAAGACAACAAACTTTCGTAAGAGCGGGCCGTTGTATGCTTCTGAAACTAGCTCTCGGCTCAATAGCGACTACTAGTTCGCGTAACATCTCTTCACAATCGTAGACGCCAATCTCCGCAATGCAATTGCAATCGACAGAATCCTCGATCCCACTGTGGTATCCTATCGCCTTCATTGAAGCCTCGGCGCTCCAGCACGTTCACCTGAAGGGCACTATCGGAGAAAGCCACCAGACCCTATTTGGGCTGCAGGAATAGATTATCGAAATGTGTGCTGCGTTCAAGGGAATGTTGGATGAGGAAAGATGCGTCAAACGGAGGGAAACCAGGGACATCATCCACCACTTGTGGCGTATTTAGACGCCAAGGGGATGGGAAAGATTTCATCCAAAAGGGATTGAATATCTTCGCAGGCTTGTAGGAACATTGCCTTATCGACGTCTTCATTGTGGTCTTTAGCCTGAATTAGACCTGTATCACGGGCGAGATAGCTTGTCTCTATCTCTGGCTATGTTGAGGGCACGGGGGAGGGCTTGGACTCATGCACGCGGTGGTGTGAAGGACGGCAGTTTGCGTCATCCTGGAGGTGATATTAAGAGAACCATAACACAGACATGCACTGGTGCAATCATACCTAACATGCCCGAGTCCTAGTGCCACTGAGCTATCGTTTATTGGCAACGTCTGTCTTCAACGACGGCGTCCATCCGTGGATGCGATGGACCTAGAATCAATCCAGGTTTGCTGTCCACTTATACTATCACTCGTAGGCGCTTTTGGCCTGATCCAGTAGCTGCATGTGCTACTCATTGTGATTGGTTCCTCTGTATCTGATATAGAGCTTCCATCATCCCCGCTTCCTAGTCATCTTCCCATGCACACAGCAACCGATAGTAACAGATACACAGCGTAGCGTCTCTTGTCTCCTTCCACCACATACGCACTGCCTTCGAACAATGGACCCTGTCTCCCTTCTAACGGGTATTCCGGACCTCATCGAACGATGCATCCAAGCCTACGACTTCTTCCAAGGAATCAAGAATGCACCAAAGGCGTGTTCGGAGCTGATGGAAGAGCTCAGAGTAGCCCGGGAGAGGTTACAGGAGATACAGAAGTGTGTAAACGGAGGGGATGACAAGGAGCAGGAGCAACTGTCTGCATCGCTGCGGAATTACAAAACTACCTTGGTTAAGTTGGATTCCGTTTTAAAAGTGTACGGTGACCCAAAGTTCGAGTTCAACATCAAGAGACGCGTCAAGTGGACGTGGTCGGGCGAGAAGAAAATCAAGGCACTGCGCGATGATATAAAGCAAAATTCTGGGAATTTGCAGCCTCTTCTGGTCAAGATGGCGTAGGTGAACTTTCGTTCATTCGTCGCTTGCTAATTTGACATGCTTTTCAGGAAAGATATTGACGATATGAAGAAGCGCCAGCAGGAAGCTGATGCCAAGAAGGCAGCCAAGGAACTAGGTAATCTCACAAACTATTTCTAGTGCGCACGCTCTTACCGAAGAATCTCATAGCCGAACGTCTCCAGAACATTGTGAAATGGCTGGAGCCTCTAAATTCCGAGGCGAAGCTGCAAGGAGTGCGCGAACGGCGTCAGCTCGAAACATGCGAATGGCTGCGTGAGCATGACCAATTCGTCTTGTGGTATTCGTCTGGTTCTTTTCTGTGGTTGAACGGTATACGTGAGTCTGTTCATTAGTCGACTGACACGTCATCCTGACTCGGAGTTCTTCAGCGGGTAACGGCAAAACCATCCTCGCGTAAGGCTTGCATCTACACGACTGCCTTGGAATCTCATTGACTCGTGTATACAGGTCGTTTGTCATCGACCATTTGAGAGAAAAGGTCACCAGCGGCGAAGAGATCGTTTTGTTTGCTTTCGCGGACTTCCAGGATGTCCGAAGCACCGATGTAGTCGTACTGCTGCGCACACTACTCGCGCGGATTCTCGAGTGTTACAAACCGGAGAACTTTGTCAAGGACTTCGGCGAGTTGGAGATGTCCATGCATCAGCACCATACAGATCCGCCCAAATCGGTCAAGCTATCTCATTCAGTTGCTGAGAAAGGTGAGTGCACCTTGGAAGCGCGTGTTCATCGTCCTCGATGCTCTTGATGAGTGCGCGCCGGAAAATCGGAGAGAATATATAGCGGCAATTCGCGAGCTTGCGTCCGCACGTTCCAATTTTTCCATCTTTGTTACTAGCAGAGGGGAGCAGGACATCTTGGACGTTCTGAGCCACGTCCCTACTATCTCTCTCCGGGACGAAACTCAGAGAGTCCAGGATGATATACAAAGATTCATCGAGGACAGGATGAACACCTCTTATCTTCCGCTTGCACGGGTTCGTGAACCGGTTCGTACACGTATCACGTCGACTCTTCTGGAGAAGTCCAAGGGCATGTAAGTACTGTCACCCCTGCTTTTTGAAAATTATTGACTTTCAAGTAGGTTCCGGTTGGTCGACTGTCAGCTGCAATCCTTGGCAAAAGCGAAATTCGAAAGTGACATCGACGAGATACTCCAAAATCTTCCTGCTGACTTGAATTCAATGTATGAAAGGATCCTTCAAAGTGTCAAAGGAGAGGGCCAGCGCGCTGTGAAAATAGTCCAGCGTACGCTTTGGTGGTTGGTTGGATCGCATCGACAGCTGCGTCTTGCGGAACTTGTGGAGGCTGTCATGGTAGAAACAGGAAGAGACTCGCCGAACAGGGACTTGAAGCCTCTGAGCGGCGAGCATCTTTTGGAGATGTGCTCAAGTCTGGTCCGCTACGACGCTGAGACAGATATTGTGGTATTATCCCATGCCTCTGTGCAGGTGCGGAATGTCATCACCATGATAGACATCAAGCTGATTGTTCTTGCTAGGATTTTTTATTTTCGGATTATCTCAAACGAACGGCGCATCATTCAAACTATCATATTCCATCGTTCTCCTTCCTGCACCGGCATACCACCGACCTCATTTCCGCATATCTTCACTATGAGGATTTCCAGAATGGGCCGTGTAGAACAGAGCAAGACCTTCTCAAGCGTTTAGAAGAACATCCTCTCCTTGTCTATGTCGTTTCGAACTGGGATGTACATACTGTCAAAATGTATGAAACACGGCCTGACTCGGAGTCGGAAGAGCCTCCTGACTTTGACGTGTTCCTTACTCTCTTCGATAACTTGGAGAAGGACCTACTCGCTCAGCGTTCGCGCAGACAACTCTCTTATTTTGGTACGGACCTGAGAGATGTCACGAAGGATGGTTCCTCCAAGTTGGAGTGGCAGAGCCTTAGCTTCTCCTCTAGCAAAATCATATATCTCGGCACAGAGGTCTTAAAGTATTATAGAGAATATCGATCGCAGGAATATGATCTATGTGAAGACGCTGGCGGTTTCGTCTATCCGCGTTATTGTGCTGGTCCATCTTGGCTAGTGACTGACGAAGGACTGCTGCAGAACTATCCGTGGCGAGACCTGTCAAATACCACCCCCGTCGAAGAGCTGGATTATATGGTCTATCCTCTTGTGTCTGAAGGGCCAGCATCATTGGTACGGGACCTCCTGCACAAACTTCCCGAGTTCAAAGAGCACCCGTTATTCTACTTTGGCACACCCTTGATGATTAGCATTTCCACGGGCAAGCTAGACACCGTAAAAATGCTATTACAAGAATTTCACGTCGATGTGAATAATCGTGCTCAGCATTATCATTGCAATTATGAAGTTGTGTCCCCCATCTTCCTCGCGACCAAGTATGGACACGTTGAAGTGGTTAAGCAACTTTTGGATTGCGGTTCGGCTACTGTATTTCCCCCTGAGCCCCACCCCCAGTCATTCCCGGAACATGTACCAGAGGACGGTCATAGCGACATCATCATTGGAGCCGCCGACCACGGTCGTGTAGACATTCTTAAAGCTCTACTTGGTCATGGAGTCGATGTGAATACTAGGTCCAGTATCAGTGGTGATACTGTCTTACATACGGCCATAAGGTACGGCCGTATTGACAGTGTCAAAGTTCTTGTCGATGCGGGCTGCGATATCAGTCCTCGTTCTAAGGGGAAAACACCCCTTGATTTCGCTCTGAACCAACGCTCTTCGGATCTTATCCGATATCTGCTCGAAAAGGGTGCTTCATTCGATCAATGCTTACCTCAAAATTTTGAGGACCTGGAGTGGGCAGCCGGAGAGCTGTGGTACCCGGAGACGCGACAGAATCTGTCGATACTCGATGGTGGCCCCAAGTTGCAACAGGACATTGAGAAAATAGCGCGCCTGTTGGAAAAGCGGCTTAGTACTTCGCAAGCACCGGGTATCATCCGGGCTATCCTTGATTTTGCCGAATTGTGGATTGTGAATTCGTTTGAACGACATGAGCATGTCAACGTCCGAGATGACTCCCCTCGTGAACCCTATATCTCTACACCACCGATTGCTGGTAGCCCGGAGAACCCGGTTCGGCGCATCATCTTCACGACGTTGTCCCATGGCAAGAAAGGTGCGAGACCTTGCAAACTGCTGTAACTTATTAGAGAGTGATTGCCCAAACAGAATGGATACTCAAAGGGCATGCCGGAGGCTTATATTCTGATTCATATACTTGGTTTGAAGCTGGGGTAGAGTCCAGCCCTGGCATATTCATGCGAATTCAGGATAATGTCACCGCTGACCTCCAGAGTCGGACTCATGTCAATGTGTGGGACTATCAGGATGCCCCATCTTCCATCAAGGAATGGATGGCCAAAATCAAACCGGGGGATACGATCTCTGTGTACCCGAGAGCGGGAATACCCTACTCGACAAATTATGTGGAGAGTATCAAGATAACGGTGTATACGTCGTACATCTAAGGGAGTATACCTATGCCTGAGGTGTGTTTTACGAGTTGCCTTTCCTTTCTGTTTCTTCTACTTAATGCCTTCTTGTGTGAGATTCCCTCACGATGTGGTGCCGTGCCTCACAAGGCAGGTTCGTTTGTCCCTCGCAATGCATGGCTATGTATAAGTCCCTGAATACAGACTTTTTTTGGCCCATATTGTTGTGACATGACAGGGTTGGAACTGACGTATTATTCTCATTCGTGTCGATGCCCCCCACTCTATGCCTTGTTTTGTTAATGATACCTGGACCTCACCGAGATGATATTGTGGTTGCTCGCTTCGGGTTGCAGAATTATACTCAACTATGGGCACAAGAACGTATGATGCATGCTACCGCGTGCTGTGTACTAGTTTCATCCGCTTTTCATGTATATTTACCGTTGAACCCTGTGTGGAAGTGTAATAACATTTCTACGGGCATGAAGCTATATGCATAAATAATGAAAAGTTCCATCTGGAGTATTAATTAACTAAAACGCGTGGCAGCACACAGGATCAGGATGTCTTAAGTCGGACGATGTTACTAGATCGTAGTTTAACAGTGAGAGTAGCATCAATGGAAGAAAAACAAAACGAAGTAAAAATATGAAGATCAGAGTTGTCGAAGTTTCAAAGAGCTATCTCATTTTAATTCTTCTTTTACACGCCCCCAGGTTAAATTAATGTTTCAAGAACCGTTCCCTATGATTCACTACAGGCCCTATCCGCCACCAGGGGGCCTGTTTACCATTGGAATCGTGTTTTGCATTTCTGTGACCATCGAGTTCGTTGGTAACATTCCTAGATCACCTGTAGAGTTGATCAAGGTTATATTTGATGCCTTTGAGTGTGTGCTCTCTCACACATTGTCTCTAGAAGGAGCACAGAGAGGTATCAAAAGGAAAGAAAAAACCTATGGTGCCAGCTCACCAAGTATGCTGCGAATGATTGGACAAGCACCTATATTGATATTTTTGAAGCACACACCGGATATGGAGTGTTTCTCTTCTATGTGATGATGTGACGAGAACACGGGGTTTAATGGGACACTCCCTTGCTCGTCTCGCCAACGCATTCATATGCTTCATGTCAACGAAGGGTAAGATAATCAAGATTTGAATATCCTTGCAGAAGGAGGTGTTGTCCTTTCTTTTGCATGTAGAGTTTCAAAGTTTGTGCTCTGGAGTGAACATGACATACGCGCGTTCATTCAGGTTCTTAGTTCTCTATGGGACTCGGCAGCAGGCACCTTGGCATGATACTGTTCCAGACCTAGGCCTCAGTGTTTCAGCGGTCAGCATCGGACAGAGGATAGAGGATTAGAGAAGTAAGTACAGATGATCATCGTGCTAGGATGGAGTAGTAATCTATGGCTCAGTTGGTGCGACCTATAACATCTTGGAATGGACACATTCCAAGGGCATCAAAAATTCAATTTCAGCGCTAAATACTTAATTTTAGGGAAATACCTACTTTTCGTACAGCTTGCAGGTTTAAACGTTTATTTCTCCAGGATGTGCGCAATGTAGAGATGATGGGAGGCCACCGGAAGTTGGCCCGACATCCTGATTATGATGCATTCCCATGATTTCTTTGTTTGTGACCACCACCATCATCGTCCCATTCTTCTCTCTTTTTCCCCCCTCTCCCACATGCAGGACACCTATTATATGTGCTTTTATGGATTGATTTCATCTTATTCATGGCAAGAGGATGATCTTTGGAATGGAAACGACACGAAGAAATGAGTCAAGAATCTCATGAAGAGCAGACTGGAAAGGTAGGCGATTTTTGTCTGGTGTCTTTCAATGATAAATTTCATCCAGAAGTCTACTGTAGGAAACTTATGCACTGCTACATGCGTCTTGTTGGCGTTATCGACACGGTTTTCTCAATGTAAGAGGTTAGATGAGGCCTTGTTGACATCTTCATTTATCATGGCTATCAGAACTTTCAATGCAGCAGAGCTTCATGAGACATCATCTTGGCTGCACTCAAAGCCGGGCGATAGTTGGTATGGCATCAAAACTTGTCGAAGCTTGCAGGTAATGGCAAAAAGGTGTATGAAATCAAGGGGGTTGCGGCCCAGCAAGCCAGCACATCAGGTCAGTCGGTCGGTCGGTCCAAAAGGTCCTTAAAATTTTTTTGCCCCCCTCTTGTAAAATATCATCCAGAGAACCTAGACACTGCTAGAGATGTTTATTTCAGCTGATATATGCAGGGTAATGACCTCACATAACCCAAAGAGTGCCGGAAAAGCAGTCAAAATGATGTTGAAGGCTTGAAGCGCCAATGGCATGGTGCCGGATATCGGCAGGATTAGTCAGTACTGAATTACCGGCTGTAAAAATGTTTTCGAGTTCTTTCTCTGCTTTTGCTCCCAATGACAAGACAGAATTGGTGAGTTGAAATTGAATACGTCTGTGTTGGAATGCTCACAAGATTGGATAGTATCACATTCAATGTGTTGGCCTGGAACGACAGGTCCCAAATTGGAAGTGTCAGTCATGTACAGTAGGAAAGCATCATTGCTAGCAGACAAAAACTGTATATCATCAGTGCTTAGATCGAGGATGAGAGGACTACGTAGGTGGAAAGCTCGCACTGGCAGGTGACTCTGACATGGAGTGATTACATGATGTTTCTCTTGTGGGTATGTTTTTCCCATGGCAGTCAGGCGGTCGGTCCATCAAGGCCTTAAAAAATTTTTCGACCTGATATGATTTTTTCGGTTTTTGCGACCCCCTTGCATGAAATATCCTCTTATTGATTTCATTTCCCTCATGCATCTCATAGTGCGGCAGTCTTCAAGCTCAACAGATATTTACTATCTCTCAAACCACTGTGAAGAGTCATTGTGCCAATGACCACCTGTTGGAGAGTCGAGATGGAGCTCTAGCAGTGAACATGATGTTCAGTGGCATCCTCGGTTCGCAGCAGCCCAATGCTGATTGATGAAGAGAGCCGGAATCTATGACAGTTCATAGATGTTGGGTGAGAGCTAAGACAAATGGCTGACATTGGATGTAATGCCTCCTGGGATGTCCTGGAAATCCAAACACAGCATTCACGCCTTGGTGTGTAGTACTTCATCTGTTAATGCCTTCAGTTCTTACAATACAGCTATTCTAGAGGATATCCATCATCATTCCATTACCTATCACATGTGTTGATGGTGATGCAGCTCGATTTACCGGAACAACCATGCTGCAATGAGACAATCAACACATGCTCACACCCTGAACAGTCACACCAGGTCATCCTTTTTTCTCTCATCGCCTCCACAGTGGAATGCAGAGTGGCCTACCATGCTGGCTTCAATAACCCAGATGCCAGCACTGTGTTATCTTCACATGATGGCACCTTATACCCTCTCCCATCCTTAGTTTTATGATGAACCACCATGTTCTTCACTTCAAGCTCTTTCATTTTCGAACCAGATAGCCAGTCTATACCTATCCATGAGCACGATGCCATTCTTGAATGACTACTATGGATTATCAGTGGTCTTGCAATCCCACCTTGGTGCACATTTGACAAACTTGAAGGCATGCTTAGTTTAGCAGAAGTGAGCAGCAAGGGGTGTGCTAGATATCGTGTCGTGCATCGATAACTGCCCTGGTATTCCTGCGAGAACCACTCCAGGTACATGCTATAGCGACAAGGTTTGGTGGGAGGGGAAAGTCACACTTGCATCGAAGCAATCACTGAGTTCATCTCTGAATGAGGACCAGCACCTGGAGGCACTGCAGTGGATCCTGACACGCTCACTGGCGAAGCTGTTAAAGTTTCACCAGCAGCAGCGAGATGAGTTCCAGAAGGGTATGTAATGGGACGCAAGATGGGGGGTGTTGCAATAGATCAGTTGATGGGTCAGCATGGACTGTGCTGGTGTGGAAGATGTTTTGGGATATGGACATGTCGCCATCAGGAGATAGGCTTGTTCATTGGATATAGAGGAGGATGTGGAAGGTTGTCTTTCATATTGAGGTTCCCTTATGTGTGCTGTGCCATACCCTACATCTGACAATGTAGATCTGCTCATCCATCGCATTGTATGACAGCTATCTTCCTGTACTGTACACTTCATATGAATTTGGTCTTCATACTAGACCTTGCCTAAATAACGGCAAGTGTTTGATATGATCTGATATACACTGTCAATGAAAATGGACAAATAGAGATGATGGACATTCCATCGGAAGTTTGGTCCAAGTTCATGGTCTGCAGCAAGTTTTCATGTAAATGGTTTTCAGTGGTTCGAACAAGAGCCTGTTCGATCTAGTACAAAAAAAAATCGGTTTTGTCTTGATCAATGATGAGATGCGGCATGGTATCCAGACTGTCTAAGAGTTCCTTAGTACAGCTGGAGCTATTCAAGCTGAAAGAATGTGTGGAGAGTGCAATTTTTCAAAGATCAAATATGCAAGTAGGAATGAGAGAGTTGAGAGAAAGGACTATCATTGCCAGAAATGCTGTTCGGATATTTCAAAGTCCGAAGGCAGATCTGTCACCTATGGAAAGCCTAACAGTTGCGCTTCATATTTGTGTTATTTTGAATTTCAAAATATCATTTATAGTAATCAGACCCAGGAAAGTGCGCTGTTAGTACTATGACCAATTCAATGGAACAAGATTAATCAACCATATAAGGAAAAAGTACTTAGGTCTTAGGAGTAGTCACCTATACATAAAACAGTTATAAACATGAATAACTTATAATTCTACTGTTTTATGTGTCAAGGAATCTGATTCTGATAGTCTCTAGCCCATGGGATGGCCAGAATATCAAAATTGGGGATGTGCTCCTCATCATTTGCAGAATGATTTACCTATATCTCTTCCAATTCATTTCAGATGGATATGAAAATTTATACACATCATTAGACAATATATATCATCTATTATATAATAGTAATACCTTCCCCAACCACTAGAAATGCATAATACAAGGTATATCTCCTCCATCCCCTATTACCCTTTTTTAACATGTATTTCTGAAGGTTTTCTTTGAATTCTGGTGTTATTCAAAGGTTTTTGAGGTCTTGAAATACAATGGTAAAACATCTGAAGTGTTCCGAGGCACAGAAAAGTGATTTCCTATATGTGCTCCTCCTGAAGTGTAATATTATCATTACTACCATTTCTGGAGCCTGATATGTTGTTCCTATAGTCATTTTAGTGTTTTCAAGGTCAAGGAATTCATTGGTGACAATTCCAGTCTCATCTGAAGCTCAGAAAATAAAATAAACAATATGTGCACCCCAATCCTCTCTTTCTAATGTGCTCGTCTAATCCTAGTAATAAAATGTGCTACAAGTGCTATAGAGGAATTGGTTTGAGATTTCCAAGGTCAGATAATCAATTGGTGAAGTCCTCTGGTCAATCCAATGCATGCATCTCCTTAAAAAACCCCAAAAGTGAATATTGCAGCCATTTTTGTGAAATTACCTATGCTACCCACTCTCCAAAATCCCCATACATCATCAGCAGGTCCACTTTTATGTTATTTAGGCTTATGAGCATTCTAGTACTGTTTCCTGACTCACCCAGCTACCAGAAGCCAGCCCAAATCTTATTATGACCGGAAAATAGCCCCTATGATTATTGTTTCTTAACGACTTCAAGAATTGGATGTGACTGTTACAGCTGACCAATTATGTGACTGTGATTCCGAGCTCAGAAGCTCAGTCACACAATTGGTCAGTGGTGACCATCTATTCTCAGTCACGCAATTGGTCAGCAGTGAGACCATGTGAAGGGATCAGAGGATCACATGACTCATACACATTCACAAAGTAGGCCAATTTATTAGTGTGAGGTGAGGGTCTTGGTGCAGACATTGTATGACAGAAGAGATTTAAGGCTATGTTGAGGGGAAGCTACATTGTGTGAATAGTAAGGTGTGTACTCACATGCAGTGTAGTGATGAGATACAAATGATTATTTAGATAGTTGGAACACTCCCATATTTTCCATGATTTGACACACACAAGATAGTGAAAGCATTTGATGCATACTGTACTATTACAACTGGATCTTCACAGGGTGTTATGTGTTATGCACATCTTCACAAAGTTACATCTTCATTATGATGTCATCTACCTTAATAGGCAGTCCAGCATTAGCTAGACCTAGTGTTGCCACAGCTCAGGTCCGAGTCACCGAGTTGTCCAGCGGAGTCAGAGTCGGACTGAGCCGAGTCACCAAAATGACTTGGGACCCTAAATGGCTTGACTCGGCTGCGACTTGACTTTGATGGCTTGAAGCTGGCCAGAGTCGAAGACTTTGTCCAGTTTTGGAAGGGTTGTTTTTACCTTGACCTAGTGGTCCCAGATAGTCATTTATGTGTACATGACATTGAGTTGAAACTATTAAATCTGTTTTTAGAGGAACAGCGACTTGGCACCCTCCCTTTGTGCTGAATTACTGACTAGCAGCAGATGGGCATCTGCATTAGGTAATGTGAGAAAAGAATTCTTAAACCGCCGTATTTTTACTGCTCTACTTTCCCACACCAACAAGCTTCAGTCTTTGCTATCTGTATACACCAAGCAGCCCTAGAAAATAGTGGCCACTGCACACATTTACATTTATACTGACCTTTGAAACTATTTTTGCATGTAAATTATCTGCTACTGAAGTTTTCTTTTTGTACCTTCCTATTTAGGTAGGAGATCAATGACTCAGCAAAGCTCAGCAGCTTGAAGCCGAGTCGAGCTGAAGTCAAAGATTTCATTTGACTTCAGTGATGAGCCTAAACTTCCATGGCAACAGCAAAAACCAAAACTCTAGAGGAGTTCATGGCAAATGGTGTGTAGCAGCAATAAAGGCTTTGTTGTTGTGCGAGTGTTTTGGTGCACCTCCATGCGATGAATTCCTCAAGAACGCAAGTATACACTGCGACTTTTCAGTCAGCAAAGTAGTACCCTTAACGATCGAGTACTAGAAAACGTTGGCTGTAAGCCGGGAAGGGTCTCGATAGACGAGAAGGAATGGAATCTGGTATAACTGGAAATACTGGCAAACCATGAATGAAGTGACGGAAATTTAACTAGTAAAGGCCATGGGTGATGTTGACGGAATTAGAGAAAACACTGTCAAAGAGAAATACCGTTGGCAAGATAACAAATACTGTGATGGCAAGAGATGAAGACTGTAGTCGAGAAATGAGAAACTGGCAGTAAAACAAAGATAAGACGAACTGGCGATGATATGAGGGGGAACTAGTGATGGCAAAATGATGGCTGGGACTGGGCTGGACTGAAACTGAAACTATACTGAGGTTAACGATGGCAAAACAAAACTGATACTAATCCTGAGTCTACACGGAGACTATCCTATACTGAAACTGACGGCAAGATACCAAATACCATGACTGATGATCCTATCTGAAGCTGTTGACCAAAATTCCGTGACAGATGCTACTGGCAGCAATAACGATCCAAATCTGAGTCCACATGGGGACATAACAATCCTGAACTGAGCTGGGTAAAACAATGGTGACGTAGAAGGTGAAAACTGATGAAAACGATCCTGGCTGGTGAAAGTGAAACGATGCTGGCGGATTAAAAGATAAAAGCGAGTTGTGGACACCAGATGGCTAGTGTCCAGTAACTTCTGTCTAGCAACTACCTATTTTCCGTGGTGTATACTAGCTTTTATACTACAAGTCCGGAATAAATTTAGAATACTTGAAGCAAGTCCTTAGTAAGTCCATAGTACATAGATTGGTAAGAAATGATACCAAACACATGTTCCCAATGTTCTAAAGTAACAGCACCCATATGGCTTTACCGCATATAGATGAAGTGATTAGCAAGAATGCCACCGATCTCCAGAATTTTGAGCTGCTGTGTTGCTGCAGCAAAGTACATTGAAGCAAGTGTACTGAAGTAGATGCTTGCAGCAATCTCTTGGCAGTATAACAGCCTTAGTAAAGACTGAGGAAAGGTCACAGCATTAGAGCTAATGCCACGGAATTGCTATTTGAGCTGCAGAATTGTGGCTGTGCTGCGGAATTGCGGCTGTGCTAGGCAATCAGATGGGATTCTAAATCCATGAGATCGACAATCAGGTGCCTGGTGGAATTAATGAAAGAAGACTGGCAGAATTAATGAAAGGGGCATGTAATTGATATGGGGTACAAGTGGGGAAGGATAAGTGGCGGCATTAAGCAATATTGCTGGGATTGAAACAGTAGGTTTGTGTGGTGGCTGGGGAATTAAATATCTGGTAAAATCCATGAATTCTGAGTGTACAGAGCCTGGAGGCTCATCATCAGAGTGGTCCCAGAGCCGAGTCATCCAAAGTCAAGCCGAGTTGAGTCAAGTTGAGCCATGGCAACACTAGCTGGACCGAAAAATAATGCTATATTTAGTAATTTAAGGCACCAAAAGGGCCTGTTACATGTTACGAAGTTCACAGATATTCACTTCACAGGAGGTTGTTATGCATTATGTGAATATCCAGTCATAATAGTACAGTATACACTGGGGAGCAGGCCATATGTCTGCACTATGGAGATTCTGTATCAGACCAGTTATATGATAATCAGATAGATATGAAAAGTTATGATGATAGGACTGATGACTGAGTCTTTTTTCATCTGGAAAATCAGGTCAAGTGCAAGAGAGAGTGGTACTGATGCATTATATTTCTTGAGATAGGAGAGGAAGACAGACCCTACATCATGCATATTATTAATATTAATATTTCTTGCAGTGAATAATCAAATATGATTTTGGTTATATATAATATACTTTTAGTTATTATGTATATTAGTATATATGATATAATGTCCAATTATCCTAAATCCGTGACCCATTGTGTCCCAGGGGTACTCAGGTACCGATCTATTTGGAATGTCATTTATCTGAAGCGCAACTGTTAGGCTTTCCATAGTCACCACCATCATTGCTTGGCTCATGACTTTGTTCTGCAGAGTAGGATCAACAGACAATGGCTGGTAGGTCAATCCTAGTAATCTATTCATAGAGCTTCTCACTAAAAGCCCTTGTGCAGTAGCCATATAACCTTTGGTCAACCCTTACAGCCATTGGCAGCAGCAGGAGAAGCAACATGAAGGATCTGCTGCCTTTCACCATTAGCTGCAATACACTGCAGCAATGTGGGCCTGGACAAGGATTTAACAGACAGTATGCACAACTGATGCCTTGTGAGCAACTCGTCTTCATTTTATCACATTTTCAATCTCATCATTGTTTCATTGCAGTGGCAGTTAGGGCATTGAAATCACCCAGAACCACAAGAATCTTTGTGATTTGCAACTCAATGTGAGTGGGAGTTCTGAGAACTTACACCTATGGCTAATAGGTATTCTAGTTCAAGACAAAATGAGAAAACGTCCAGTGGTGCCTTTGCGATGCGATATTGATAACGAAGGGGAAGACAATGTTGGATGGAAATCTTTATGGGTACATAGATTTGATGATTGTATGATGAAGTCAGCAGTGCTCATCGACTTCTGTTTAACATCATAAGATTGTACTATAGCAATCAGTTTCCTTCTTCAACAGACCGCTCGCCCATCCTACCTGCCATCAACATGCTTCCATCCGAAGGAACAATGTTACTTACCCCTGTAGTAAGCATAGGCTCAACAAAATCACCTTGCCACACCCTCTTTTCGCCTCCATACATGGACACATCCATTGGTATTTCATTCAACTCACTGCGGTCTTCTCTCATCCAACACCAGCCACTAGCTTTGGAATCTCACTATGAAAAAGGTGGTGGCAAAAGATACTGCCACAGTATCAAGGTCAAGGCCAGAACATTGTGGTCCCAATTGGGGTATCAGTTTTTCCCCTACTTACAGTAGTGGTGGGATTGTCTTTTTGTGTCTGATTGCATAAGTATTTCTCACCTCTTTCATGGTGCACTGACAAATTTCTATAGAGAATCTTCAGTGCAGGGTCTGTCAGCTGTAATGGGATCAATCTGAGCAAATTGAATGACATGATGCTGCCATTGGGTTTGTGCTTTGGCACAAGCTGGACTGATTAGGATATTGTTGCACTCGTGAGATAGTATAGACACAGCCCTTCACAACACAGTGATACTAGCCATACAAGGAAGTAATATCAATGCATGTGGTGATGACTCAAGTGCTCAGGAATGGGAGGAAGTGTAACCCTAACCTTACTGATGCTAGGGTTAAGAGTCATCAAGCGGATGCAATAAGTGTTGCTGCTAACATCGAGTTGATGATCTCTGCCCCTCCATGCCCTGTCACTCTCATTAGAACATGTCACCACAAGCTCCTCCTGAGGTAGTCCTTTGTCATTGTCCATTGAGCATAACTGATACAACTTTTATGGTACGTTTGGATAAGTATCCAGCTAGTGACCCAAATAAATATCCCAATGGCCACATAGTGACCTGCATGCTCTACGCAACCAGTAACTCTCATGTGTCGCTTCCTATAGCCCGGAGACCTGTAAACTGTGTCTTTCCCCTCAAATACACCAGCCTAGGGACTACTTCTTGCTCCACCCCATCTGGCATGCTACAACAGCTGGTAAAGGGCGCGTTGTCCTGATTTTCGAGGAGTAGTGACAATGATGATGTTTGAAGGGGGATGGGTATCTGCAGAGCATACCACAGGTTCTCGACGATGTCGGCAACTGTCACCCACTCTTGATGGCTCAACCTATGAATGACTACTGGCCATGGAAGCATTGGATGGACAATGGCCAGTGATGGAAGAGGCAGGTTCGTTGCTGCCTCATTCACACAGCCATCATGACTAAAAACACGCACACCCAACAGACTGTGAGTGAAGTTGAGCTTGATCATCTTGTCTCCACAGCTTGGTCGTAACAGTGGATGTACCACTGTCGGGATGTCCCCCTCAGCCTGTGACAGCAGTGGGATGTGATGATGGTGCAGTTTACCAAGAGCAGGTGGTGAAGACAACACGATATATTCATGCACATATCTGGTATATGACATGTCGGGATTGGATGCATAATGGCAGCGAACAGGGACCATCATGGTCAGCTGCATATTGCTATAGACAGGAATAACAAGAGGTGCCCTCGACAGGGTGTGGAACACTGTTGAGGGTGATAAATGCAATTCTGGTGGCTCTCTACCCTGCTGCGTAGCCATTGCCACCATGTTTTCTCATCGGACATGCATCATCTTTGTACCACCGTTATTCATGGAGCAGAACAGCAGAAGAAAGGCTTACAGATGAATAGTGAGGCTTTGGTTTGCTTGAATGAATGCGAGCATAGCTGGGAAGGTGCTGGGAAGGGTGAGAGCAAGTGATAGTGGTGGTTTGAGGGAGAGTTGTGGGGGCCTGAGGAAGGATGGGGGTGCTTTATATATGGTATGTCCCCTCTCCAGACAAAGTTGAATGTAAACCTAACCTTACTTTCCTTAGGGTTAAGGTTCCATGTACATCAAATTTAGTCAGAAGTGGGTACACATCAGTTTTGTACTTTCAAAAGCTCTTCTTCCGAATCTGATGTCTTAGGCAAGGAGTCTTTCTCCGAACTTTGTGATGCTTCAATGTTCCTTCCTTGCTGCTGGCCACTCACTGTGGCAGTTCTTGAACCAGGACTGTGACTTGTGTTCCAAGCCATCGCTGTCATACAAAACTTGAAATTGGTATTGGTACTTTCCCAGAACACTTATCTTCATATTGCTCTTCCCTAACCCGTGAAACCAAAATGTTGCCCGGGCAGGCACTCGGTTGGTCGAACAACCACTCCTCAAAAAGTCATAGACTTCAGTGTGTCATGTTAGACCAGACTTGCGACCGGTTTTTTTCTCAGAAGGGACTTCCTCTTTTGAAGCTCTTTGTAGTAATGATGAAGAAATGCAATTTGGCATTGACTGTCTTTCTGCTTCTTTGTTCTTACATACGTATGTCATCACTATTGCATTCAGTTTTCTGTGTCAAATGCCATTTCTTCTTCGGAGTATACTTACGACCATCATTCCTGCATGCTCTGCAGAGTCTGGTATACAGGGAGCTACTAGCATGTTTGTCCTGGTTATTTGTCACAGACCTACTAATCAAAAGCTTGTTTGCAGGAAGGACCAATCGATGAATCTTCCTACAAGATGCTATAGTTATGCAGAGAGACAGTGAAGGTGAATGCAATTGTTGTTCAACTCTTCGAACAACATCAATGCATTGGTCACGGAGCATTCAGAGCAAAGTGAATTATTTTTGTGGGCTGTCAAAGGAAGGCAGGAGGGCTGTTAGACCTCACATTGACATCCAGTATCACAATTAATGTATGTCCTCTCGAGCAAATGGCTTTCCTCATTTTTTCCCTCGTTCCCATAGCACTTTCATCAGTGGATGAAAGGCTGCTCATATAGAAGCAGCCTCACTGGATAACTCATGAACCACACCTAAGAACAGGAACGGGGTATATGATTGAGATGAGCGGTCAGGCATAATGGGTAAGTGAGGGTACGTATGAAAGCGAACATGAGGGGAAGAAGCAAGAAAAAGAAGATGTGTACTCTACTATATATATAATCTATTTATATATATGTGTGATAATCCGATGTGGTCCTGTGGTGGTATATAAGAGCAGCAGGGTCAATGTGACTCCGAGTGTGGTGTCGGTGGCTCTGTAGGAGGAATCATACTGTCAGTAGTTTGATGTGAGCCCACCGGGCTTACACTCTCCCCATCGCTGAGAACAGTGCATGTCTTCTCTGAAGGAACAGTGGAAGCCTTACTCTGCAACCATATGTCTAATGCCTCGCAATCTTCCAACTCATGATGAGGGAGCCATTTATCATCCGATTCTGAGAAACTGACCCAACGGATGAGATACTGGAATCCACGACCACGGTGTTGTTCATCTATTATCTTTTCAATAACATGTTCCTCCAAACCATCTTCAGTCACAATCAGGCCAGGTCGAGGGTGGTCACGATCAGGGAACAGATCCTTGTCATTTGGTATGAATTTGCACAATTCTGAGATGTGAAATGTATTGAAACGAGCAGGAGAGTTGGGAATGTCTAACGTATAAGAAGAGAGATCAGGGTTAGCATGCATCACCAGGTAGGGGCCATCAAAATGCGGCATAAACTTAGCCACCCTTCCAGATTGACCTTGTGCATAATCCCTCCTGCAGTGGTAGGTATTCAACAGAACACAATCCCCTACAGCAGGGGAGAAATCTGGTGCATGGTGACGATTAGCCTGATGAGCTTGATTAACTTTGGCTGCAATCAAGTTGTCCACTGCTCCTTGTGTCTCAGTAATCACTCGAGCAACAATCTCAGCTGCACAGACATCTTCAGGAGGAATGTCAACATAAAATGATGTGGGAACAAGAGGTGGTATCACACGTGGAGATCTACCCAGATGCAGGAGGAAGCCTGAAGTACCTGTAGATGCATTAATCATATTCATCATGTTGAAATGAATCCTGGGTAGGGCTGCTACCCAACCTTTCTGAGCCCTGTCAACGTGGTAGCAAATTGATTGGTTGATGGTCTTATTAGATCTCTCAGATGTGCCATCAGTTTCAGGGTGAAAGGAAGAAGACATGGCCAATTTGACACCAGTTAACCTATGCAAAGCATGCCAGAATTTCGAGATGAAGAGTTTATCCCTGTCTGATACAATTTCCAGGGGTAGGCCATTTTCACAGTACCAGTGGTCGAAGAACAGCTGAGCCATGCCTTCTGCAGATATGTTAGTCTTGCAAGGTATGATACGGACATCTGACCCAAGTCTATCTGTGAAGGTTGCAATGCAATTGAAACCACTATCCTTGGGCAAGGGGCCAATGAAGTCAATGGCCACACTATCACCTCATTTGTCAGGCACTGGTAGCGGGTGTAGAGGGCCAGGAATCTTCATTGTGTGAGACTTGTTCCACTGACAAGGTTCGCAGGAAGGGATGTATGACAATTCAAGATTATGACACATATTTGGCCAATAGTAAGCATCTCTCAGGGATCCATAGGCTTTGTCTGCACCAAAATGACCAAGTGAATCATGAGCCAGATGAAAAAGCTGTTCCCTGACATTGCCTGTGTGAGGGATTAATAAATGATCACCAATATACCACAAGCCGTTAACTTCTTGGACATTTGGTAAAATTCGTTCACTGAAAACAAATTTTTTGCAAAATTCATCTGTTGAGTAGCCATCTCATATCTGCTTCAAGACACAGGTGTCAGTTGTTATCAACAGGGATGAAGACTGGACTGAGGCAATGGACATGGGTCCATGTGTCGCCTTTCCTGCTTCAAGCCTAGTATTATGACTTTACCCCTATTTTCCTTATCTTATCTTATCCTTATCTCTCGGAACCCTGGACCTACCTATCTTATCTCTCAGACCCATGATATTCTGCCAGCACACTCCTTACCCATTTACCTGGTTGCTGTCACCCCAGTTCACAGCTGCCGCATCCTGGATGACCGATGACCCGCATGCACCATCATGCTTCTCTTGATGGCATCATGCTTCTTAGTAGTTGGACAGGAGTCAACTGCTAGTCAAGGGCGGTCTATGGGATGCAGCCTATTCAGACAGAGTCCCATGCAGATGCAGGTGATATGCACTCTTTACTCTCATTCATCGGGAGTGCACTTCTTTTAGTGTCCTCACTTCTCATTTGTTGAAAGGCGCACTTCTCACTGCACACACCCTTGTAGGTACTATTCTTAGTACGAGTTTAACATGTATTTAAGCTAGCCTACGCTGTGGCCTTAGACCCCAGCTTCAGCTAAGGTTATATACTCCTAACTCTTACAAGCTCCTTGCTTTTGCTATAAGGGAAGCCTAACTTCTTGCAATCTACCAATGCCTCTCTAATACTGAATCACCAAATGCGAGTGACAGGATAGAGACCAGCCTTGGCTCAGATTAGAGTTAGTGCTTAACAATTAGCTGAAGCTTGCCCTTACTACCCTTACCATTGTCAACGGTAACTGTACCGCTTCAAGGCAGTCACTGTTATACTTCCAAAGATAAGAAATCTCCAGCCTGTTATTTGAAAACAGCACCCACCATACCCCGAGATCATAAACATTCGTTGTGGTACAACAAACTTTATGCCTCTCACCCTCTCAGACCACACCGCCATTATCTTCGGAAGTACCTTCGGTATCTTGACACTATTAACTGCAGTCACAGTTATCCACATCCTTCGACCAACCCGACACCAAAGAGCACTGACCCCCAGAAGAGGGAGAGTACATGGACTCAATGGCTCATCAACAGGAACCTCACGAGCAACAAGCACTGTCCAGCTCCAGTCACTCACACCCCAGCCAAGGGGAGAGCGAGACACACTTCGACACCCCTTACCCAACAGAGAAGAGTGAGCCTCCATGCTCGAGCTTCAGGGCGAGGATCAGGGAGATGGTGAAGGCGAAGAATCCCTTCAGGAAGAAGAGCTCAGACGACTCGGCATCCCTCCAGATGATGGAGATGACCGAGTCGACCCCAGGTTTACCACCAAGTACTGGACCAATACGGATGGGTCCTGGGATGACATGACCTGGGGCAACGACAATGACTCCAGGGAGCCATCAATCTCCTCCACAGAGTTATCAGCAGCCATTCCAGGGTTTGACGATGATGGAGAGTGTCTCTATCGAAGAGGAATGAGTGGGTTCTACATCGATGCATTCAACCGAATTGTCCATGGACAATGATGAACCTATAGACTCCCGTGGGCAGAAACACAAAACCTAAGTGCGGTATGTGCTAACAGACATGGAATCTGAAGGATGGTTCTAGCGAGTCTAGTCGGGGCACCTCCGTGCGGTGACTAAAGCCTCCTAAGTTCGGAAAGATAAAGGAATTTCTCTACTAGTAGCGTAGAGGGCGGTAGCGAACTATAAAATTCGCAGGAAGGGAAGTAATTGGGAAAGGGATCCTAGAAGAGGCCCTAAAACGAATCAGTAAACATACAAGGACTATACCTTGTTCCTGTTGCAACTCTAGCTGCGAG